ATGAATTTCCCACTTAATACGACTATTGCTGCATCCCATATGAGTTGGTATGTCATGTTATCTTTTTCATTTGTCTCCAGATATTTTTTCATTTTTTCTTTAATTTCTTCAATGATCCATTGCTTGTTCAATAGCATACTGTTTAGTTTTCACATCTTTGTCCCTTTCTCAGCTTTTTTCTTGTAATTAATTTCTAGGCTTATAACATTATGAACGGAGAGGTGCTTCTTATTATTTCAACTTTTTAATATTTATAGAGGCTTGTCTTGTTTCCCAACACATGGTCCATCCTTGAGATTGTTCCTTGCACACTTGAGAAGAATGTGTATTCTGCTGTTTTTGGATGGAGTGTTCTAATTATGTGTGTTAGGTCCAACTGTTTTAGCTTTTCATTTAATTCCACTGTTTCCTTGTTGATTTTCTGTCTGGATGATCTGTCCAATGATATGAGTGGGGTGTTTTGTGTTATTTTTAATATCTTCATTTAGGTTTATTAATAGTTGCTCCTATGTTTGGTGCATAGATATTCATAAGCATTATTTCTTTCTGATGGAGTTTCCCTTTGATCATTACATATTGATCCTCTTTGCCTCTCTTTACCTGCCTTATCTTGAAGTCTACTCTGTCTGATATAAGTTTTGCGACACCTGCTTTCTTTTGTTTGCCATTAACTTGGAGTATTGTCTTCCACTCCTTCACTCTGAGCCTGTGTTTGTCCTTGGGATTGATATGTGTTTCCTGGAGGCAACATATTGTTGGATCTTGTTCTTTAATTCATCTTGCCACTCTGTGTCTTTTTATTGGCGAGTTCACTTTGTTTACATTCAGGGTGATTATTGATGTATGGGGGTTTAATGCTGTCATTATATCACTCATTTTCCGGTTTTCCTGCATTTCCTTTGTTTCTCGTCCTATGTGTTTTGGTGTACCCATTGAATTATGGAGTTTTCTTTCTTTGTTTCTTGGTGTTTTCCTTATTTATCTTTTGTGTCTCTGTTTTGCTTTTTGGTTTAGTGGCTACCCTGAAGTTTGTATTCAGAATCTCGTGCATAACATAGTCCATTTTCTGATGGCCTCTTATTTCCTTAGTCTGAACTGACTCAGTCCCTTTCCTCTTCCCCTCCTCAATTATTATTCTCATACCTCATTCCAACTTGTGTTGTGAGTTTGTGGTTAAAGTGACAAGATTGTCTCTGCTTTTGATGTTTTCTTTCCCTTTATCCTAATACTATAGTTGAATATTTGCTATCCTATCCTGCTTCTATGTTTTTGTCTCCTTAGACTGTGTTTTGTGACCCCTTTCTCCCCTTCTTTCTTTTTTCAGATATGAGGGCCTTCTTGAGGATTTCTTGTAGGGGGCATCTCGTGTCTATGAAGTCCATTAGGTTTTATTTGGGAAAGATTTAATTTCTCCCTCATGTGTTAAGGATATTTTTGCTAGATAGAGTATTCTTGGCTGAAGATATTCTTGGCTGAAGAGTTTTATCTTTTAAAGTTTTGAATATGTCATTCTATTCTCTCCTAGCTTGTAAGATTTCTGCAGAGAAATCTGTTGAAAGTCTGATAGGGGTTCTTTTGTAGGTTATTTTCTTCTGTCTTACTGTCCTGGTATTCTTTCTTTGTCATTCATTTTTGCCAATTTTACTACTATATGCCTTGCAGTAGATCTTTTTACATTGACAAATCTAGGTGATGTGATAGCTTCCTCCACACACATTTCACTCTCATTCCCTTGATTTGGGAAATTCTCTTCTATTATTTCTTGGAGCACACTTTCTGCTCCATTCTTCTGTTCACCTTCCTGAATACCTATGATTCTTGTGTTCCATTTCCTAATTGAGTCATGATATTTCTCGTAGACTTTCTTCATTTCTTTTTAGTCGCAGTTCTCTCTCCTCCTCTGTCTGGAGCAATTCAACATGTATATCTTTGATTATGCTGATTCGCTCCTCTAGAGTGTCCACATGAGAATTCAGGGTATCCATATTTTATTTTGTCTCTTCCATTGTGTCTTTCATCTCTAGTATTTCTGATTGACTCTTCTTTATAGTTCCAGTCTCTTTTGTGAAGTAGATCTTGAACTTATTGAATTGTTTCTCTATATTCTCTTTTACCTCATTGAGTTTTTTGCCAATGGCTATTTTGAATTCATTGTCATTTAATTTACTTATTTATGAGTCCTTCGGACTGAATTTTGGGTATTTATTGGCTCTCTGTTTTGGAGATTTGAGGAACTGTCTGATCTGGAAGAACGAGGTTTTCCCATTGTGATAGTATTAGGTTGCAGTTACAGCCTATTGCCATGGGATAAAAGTCAAGAGCCACGTATTCTGAGCCCTGCACGTTCAGCCAAGATGGTGCAGTGTGGCTCGGATGTGTTGGGGGATGCTTTCTCCTGCCTACAGTCCCTGGTTTCCCGATTAGCTCTTGCTGTCTAGTTTCCTGGGGTCTTGGCTTGTTGAAGTCACCCCATGGGAAAGCTTTCGCCCCATTTGAGGGCTTCCCTCTAGGCTGCAAGGACACTAGGAAGTCTTGGCTGATCCCACGGACATGTGACCTCTTCCCCACTCCTTCCTTGACAGAGCCTCCCACGCCAGTGATCCCAGCCTTTAGGGGAGGGAGTCAAGTTCTCTCTTACCCCTACCAGCTCCTCCGTGGGGGGCTCCAGGCTTTCTGCCCTCCGTTGTTTGGTTTCCATGACTCTCTGAGGATTCATGTGCTATTACAATATTTTCTATTGGAATGCGGTTGCTCCTTTTTGTTGTATGTTGGAGGGGAGAGAGTCTTGGGCAAGCTCACTCTGCCATCATGGTTACGTCACTGGTCCTATGAGATTTTTTTTATACAAACCTCGTGTAACCACTAGACAAATAATGAGAACAGAGACACAAATGATAAAGAGAAAAATAAGAAAACTTTCAGAGAGAAGTACCAAGCTGAATTGGTAGTCGGAAATGCACTGGACAGCAAAGAAGGGAAAAGGGCAGAAGAACTGGAAAACAAGTCATAAAATGGCAGCATTAAGCCCTCATATATCAGTAATCACTATAAATTTAAATAGATTGAAAATGGAGTGACCTCAGAGGAGCTTAGCAATTGATGACTCTGCGTTTACTTTGCCATTGTCTCCCTTTTTAAAAATTTTTATTTTATTTTATTATTATTATTTTCCTGAGGAAGATTCACCCTGAGCCAACATCCGTTGCCAACCCTCCTCTTTTTGTAAGTGAACTGCCACCACAGCAGGGCCACTGGTGAGTGGTGTAGGTCCATGCCTGGGAACTCAACCTGGGCCGCCAAAGTAGAGCATGCTGAACTTAACCTCTCGGTACCAGGGCTGGCCCTCACTCTCCCTTTCTTCTCCAATCTCTAACATCACAGTTAGCTGATACCTAGTTCAGAAAGTAGTTAGAAAGGCACTTCCCGTAACTACCACAGCTACTCACCTAACCACATCTGTGCCTATGTACTTTCCCTTCTCTACTGTTATTATTACATTCGTATTATTAGTGGTATACAAATATTGCTCTTAAAGTTCTTGGCTAGTTTGCTAATTGTTTTAGTGGCATCTCAGGGTTTTATAGATGGAATCCCAAGACAGTTAGAGAAATGGGAGTGGATATAGCTACGTTTTCCCTACTCCTAATCTGATCATCTCTACATTTATCTCTTTTTTATATTTTGATGTTCTGTTAAATGTTTCATTTGAATAAAAGGATCTGCTTCTATACTTAAAGTTTTGACAATACTTTCCATGATTGGAATCTTCCTTGAATACTCTACTCACGTCCCAATCTCTCTTTTCCTTTGACTAACCTTCTGTAGCACTTGCTGTCTACATTGCATACATTTTTTTTTTTTCTAATAAAGATTCACCCTGAGTGAACATCTGTTGCCAATCTTCCTTTTTTTCCCCCTCCCCACAGCCCCAGTACGTAGTGGTATATTCTAGTTATAAGTCCTTCTAGTTCTTCTATGTGAGCTGCCACCACAGCATGGCTACTGACAGTTGAGTAGTGTGGTTCTGTGCCCTGGAACTGAACCCAGACCACCAAAGCACAGCGTGCCGAACTTTAACCACTAGGCCATCAGGGCTGGCTCTATATTGCATATGTTTTGTTATTCTGTAACTCAGTATTTTCTAATTTTCTCAATTTTTTCATGTTTATTCATCTTTTTGTCTTTCCACAGCTTGTAAATCCTTTGACATTAACGTACATACTTATGCCCCTTGGATATCTCCCATAGTTCCTAACATGTTAGAGCCATGTAGTAGGGAATATTGATTTGTGATCCAGATTAATGCCATCTAATGTGAGACTTATTGGAATTGTTGTCCATAGTCTTTTGACTGGGTATATGTAGTAGGAGAGGTGTACATGGATCATGTTTCATGTATATGAAAAGTTTCACATAAAGTGAGTATATATATTTTCCTGGAGAGAAAATAGCTTTTATCATGTACCAGAATAATGAAATATCAAAGCTTTAGGTCATCTCTCTCTGTGCCTTTATTTGGCAGATACAGAAACTATCACCAAGCAACTTGCCTAGAATCATTCCTACAACCCAATATAGTTTCCTGATTCTTTAAATTATAAGCTAATAGTCTTTATGATATCAAAAGCTTTAAAAATTTATTTGAATATACATTTGTATGGTTTCTAGAGATCAACACTTAATATAGGAAATATGTGTTGCTTTTATAAACAATAATTTATGTATTTTTATTTTTACTCGTGTTTAGTTTAATGTTTAAGTATGGACAGCCTATGTATTTTAAACTCTTGTAGTTGTACAATTGTGGAAGAAATTTCTTCAGTATGGAAATGTAGCAAAGTTGTTTTTCGTACAGTATTTTAAGTCATTTATTCAACATAATTGTATAATTCAAAAAAAATCCCACTAATTGTGATTTAATGCATTTCTAATCAGAAAATATAACATTGTGACAAGTGACAGATACTAACTTACTTTTTTCTACTGTGATTTCCTTATAGGTTTGATGAACTTGTGAAAAAATTCAAAGTTGAATATCATGCTGGTGGCTCTACCCAGAATTCAATTAAAGTGGCCCAGGTTGGTTAATTATTTTAAAAGTTACAAAGAAATGGATTATAAAATGATTCTAGGCCTTTTGGTCATTGTTCATAAATTTTCCAGGGTGTATTTTGTTGCTATAGAATAGTTTTGTTGGTTTTGAATTGGGATTTTAGCAGTTATTGCCCATCTAATCCACAAAAATTATTTTATTTTAATTGGTATTCCTTTGCTTGTTAGTAAGCTTGAATATCTTTTAATGTTTATTGTTCATTTTCACTTTTTCTTTCTTAATTAGTTGTTGATTCCTTTTTTATTATTTTAGAATTTTTTGTGTTTAGTGGTTTGTGGAAATTCCTGATATTTTTATGGTTAGTATTCCTTTTTATTCTATAAATTGAAAGCCATTTATTGTTTATTTGTTATTTATACTTTAACTCTGCTTATAGTGTCTTTTACTTTGCCAAAGTTCTCAGTTTTTTTAATGTAATTAGACTTTATGGCTTCTGCATTTCATATGGTGCTTCGAAAGGACATTCTTAGAACAAGATACTGTAAGTGTTCATGTGTATATGTATAGATACTTATATATCTATATCTGTGCATATCTTTTATATATACTTATACATACATATATATATATATATATATATATATATATATAAAAGTACAAATTTATATAGCTGTATCTATACTCATATCTTTATCTTCCAATGGGTAATTGGATAATCTCATTTTGACATTATTCTCTCAAAGTCACCAGCCTAACCTAATCTTGAGTGAGACTGGTTAGTATTCTTTTTAAACTTTCAATTATGAAGGAGATGAAAAAGCTTTACCTGCCACAGGTTCTTACCCTTTGTGATTTGAAAAGTAGCTGAAAATCTCACGTACTGCAATCATTGGTCAACTCTGATGGACTCTGGTCATTTTGATTTTTCATGGATTTGCTTTTCCTTTGAATTTTAATTATCTCAAGGACTGGAGAAGTAGAATATTGAGAAAGGTTGAACAATTTCTGGTTTTTTGGACTAACACTTAGTTGATTTAGTGTGCAGTGTAATTATCTTACCTACTTCCAAAGCTCAAATTTAATCATAGTATTAAAATACTTTAAGTTGTAAAAATTAATCTTGAAAGTGATCATTTGTGTGGAGTGGCCTAATGAGAAGATCTTTGTATTTGTCAATTGAATTTGTATTGTTCTTGTTAAAACATCCTGCTGGTCACTTTGTAAGCTCAAGTTATTAGAAAAAGTTACAGTTTACTTTTGTCCTTAGAATATTGTATTAGTCTCCTTGGGCTGCTACAACAAAATATCACAGACTGCTTGGCTTAAACAAGAGAAATTTATTTTGTCACAGTTCTGGAGGGCAGAAGTCCAAGATCAAGGTGCCATCAGGACTAGCTTCTAGTGAGGGCTCTTTCCTGGCTTGTAGATCGCTGCCTTCTCACTGTCTTCACATGGCCTTTCTTCTGTGCCCGCAAAGAGAGAGATCTCTGGTGTTTCTTCCATCTTCTTATAAGGACACCAGTCCTGTCAGTTGAGAGGTTCCACCCTTAGGACCTCATTTAATTTTAATTGTCTCCTTAAAGGCTTTATCTCCAGTTAACGTTGTGGTTTGGGTCTTCAATATATGCATTTTCAGGTGGGAACAATTCTGTCCATGACAGATCTCTTTTTTAAAGCCTCAGTCTGTCAAAGCACATTCTACTCCCCCTTCACTCTTCTCTCCCTCTAGAGCCAGGAAGCCATTAGCTGTCCACTTAACAAATTTCTTCTTTCTTGAGGATCTTTTTCAATTCCTACTTTCCCAAGATTTATTACTTATATAATTAATATCAAGCTCTTGATTGGATTTCTACCTGATGTTGGTCTCACTAATAAAACCATCATTGCCTGTTATTATTTTCAGTTTTGACAATATTTCATGTTCATTGTAACAATGTATTCTAGTAATGGTGTATTTGTTCCTATCTTTACCGAGGATGTAAATGGAATTTAAAGTTTTGGGTGGCTCATCCGTTATTTTTACTTTCTTATTAATGGTATATTTGGGGTTGAAATCCTATCCTGATAGTAAGACTAGCAATCCTTCTTTTATTTATTTATTTATTTTTTAAAAAGATTTTATTTTTTTCCTTTTTTCTCCCCAAAGCCCCCCAGTACATAGTTGCATATTCTTCCCTATGGGTCCTTCTAGTTGTGGCATGTGGGACGCTGCCCCAACGTGGTTTGATGAGCGGTGTCATGTCCGCGCCCAGGATTCGAACCAACGAAACCCTGAGCCGCCTGCAGCAGAGCACGCGAACTTAACCATTCGGCCACGGGGCCAGCCCCCTCAATCCTTCTTTTAGACCATATGCAAAGCAATTCAGTTTAGTTCAGCCAACATGTATTGATATTAGAGAAATCTCTGTGCTATATATGATAGATAACATCAATAAACAGGAAATTTCCCTTGTTTATAAAATTCTAGCTTACATTGCAAAACTTACCATTTTTTTTTCCTTTTCAACCATTAAGTATCCTAACTTTTCTTCTTCTGTTCTTCCTCCCTTTCTTCATCATCATTTATTAAATTCCTACCATGTGCCAGGTAGTCTGTTAGATGGTGTTGATGCAACAGTTAATAATGGACTTGATCCTACTCTTGAAGCTTTCATTATAATGAAAATATATTTGGGCATCAGGGTGGTGGCGTGGAGCAATAGAAGAATAAACTATTAAGTATAATATGATGTTATAGGAACAATTCTCTCCACCCCGAAAAGACAGACAAACAAACAAATTTAGAAGAACCAGAATAAAAATATGTCAGTACTCATGTATATGATTTCTCCAGTTTTTGGAAACTTGAATCCAAAACTCTATATATCTGCCCAAATACACCTCCAGTGTTATGTTCAATTTCTGGTTGAATCACGACTGTTCTCATTTTCTCAGTAGGATTTTTATCTCATGTCCTAGATTTTAAATTTGAGCTAGGAAAACTGAAAGAGACACTCACGAATAGCAGTTTTTCTTTATCCAACTTGAACCCCCTTTTCCCAACATCAGATTGGTTTATCAGTCTGTTTTCTAAGATTTTTCTCAAACTGTTGGTCAGGGCTCTCACAAGTTGTCACAAGGAGGCAAGGGTATTTCTAGATTTGTTTTAAATTTGTTGTATTTAAAAGAAGAACAATTTTGCTTTCTATTTTGTATATTAGCTTTAATGTAAAATTTAACTTTTTAAAAATTTATGCTGCCTACCTCACATTCATTGGGATGGCTGTTACCACATAAACATAAAATAACAAGTGTTATTAAGGATATAGAGAAATTGGAACCCTGTACACTGGATAGTTTACAGTATGGTAGTTCCTCAAGAAGTTACAAATAGAATTACCATCTGACCCAGCAATTCCAGTTCTGAGAATGCTACAGACTGAATGTTTGTGCCCACCCCCCACCCCGATTCATATGTTGAAGCCCTTAACCCTGCAATGTGATGGTATTTGGAGATGGGGCCTTTGAGATGTTATTAGGGTTAGATGAGGTCATGAGGAGTCCCGTCATGAGGGATTAATGCCCTTATAAGAAGAGACATCAGAGAGCTTGCTCTCCCCTCCCCCTACCACCACATGAGGACACAGTGAGAAGTTGGCCATCTACAAGCCAGGAAGAGAGTCCTTTCCAGGAACCAAATTGACTGCACATTGATCTTAGATTTCCCAGCCTCCAGAACTGTGAGAAATAAATTTCTATTGTTTAGGCACTCCTGTTTTTGGTATTTTGTTACGGCAACTTGCGTAGACTAAGACAGATTACATACCCAAAGGAATTGAAATCAAGGTCTTGAAGAGATATTTGTACACTCATGTTCATAGCAGAATTACTCACAATAGCCAAAAGGTGGAAGCAACCCCAGTGTACTTCAATGGATGAATAGATAAACAAAATGTGGTATATGCATACAATGGTATATTATTCAGCCTTAAAAAAAAAGGGAGATTCTCACACATACTACAATGTGAATGACTCTTGAGAGCATTATGCCAAGTGAAATAACCCAGTAATGAAAGAACTAATACTGATGATCCCACTTATGTGAGAGACCTAGAGTAGTCAAATTTCTTAGAGATAGAAAATAGAATGGTGGTTGCCAGGGATTGGGGGAAGGAAAAATGGGGAGTTACTGCATAATAGGTATAGAATTTCAGTTTTACATGATGAAAGGAGTTCTAGAGATGGATAGTGGTAAGGGTAGTACAACAATGTGAATGTCACTTAATGTCACTTAAAAATGGTTAAGGTAAATTTTGTGAATGTCTATTTTAACACAATTTAAAAAATAACAAGTCAGGAGCATGGATTTGCTCTTGGGACCATGAGAGTCCATTAGAAATGAGTTTGCGTTTAAGATTTGTCACTTGACTGGCTGGCTATGAAGCCATGAGCAATTTATTCAACTTTTATAGACCTTTCATCTGTAAATGTGGAGGTTAAAGCTTATCTCAGATGGAAGTTGTAAGGATTAATAAGATAACAAATGGTTAAAAAAGTTATACTACTTTTTAAAAGAAGATTTGGAAACCACTAGGGTTGAAGGCTTTCCCCCCCATTTTTCTGAATTTTCTTCATCTTAAGAAGGCCTAAGTGTACCCATTCGTGCACAGCACAACTAGATTTGTGGCTCTCGTCCACTTAAAAATATGTTTTTCAATCTAGCCCTCAATTGAACATCTTGCTTGACTTTTTACTTCCCCTAATACTTTGAGAGTACTTTTCCTTTGCATCTGATTGATGATCCAACTACATAATTGCCAAATTATAATTTATGACTAGGATAACCACATAGTTTTGGGAAACATTCTTTTAGAAGTACTTCCCTTTAGAAGGAGAATTGCTCAGATTTTCTTTGGCAATCATTAATAGGAATAACTGATTCTTTTTGGTACATAAAGCAGATATTTATTGAGCATCAGCTGTATGCTAGTTATTGTACTAGGTAGTAACTGCTAACTCAAACTGTCTCGTCTAAATTTTAAGTAAA